GAGGCACAGAACCGCCGAGTGACCTGCCTGGCATCGCACACAGCAGAGCCAGGAGCTCTTGTGCCCAGGCCCAGGGCTTTTATGGGTCTCCACTTCATTGCTGCCCTCACGCCTCTGTGATGCCTGCCTCGTAAGCACGGGCCAAGGAGATGCCCAGGGTTCCTCTGAGGCACCACCACCCAGGTCCAGCCCAGCAGCCCTGGCAGAGACGTCAGCCTCTTTGGAATTCCCGAACCTACCTGCCCGCCCCTGAGGTTGCTAGGCAGTAAGCTCCATGACGGTGGGGACTCCCCCACCCCTAAATCCCCGTGGGCCTAGCACTAAGCAGAAAAATCCATCAATCCTTCCTTGAGTAAATCAATGAGTGGGTGAGTCCAGGAGGACATGGATGAGCATCCGTACAGCAGCTGATGCAGACAGGAGGCAGAACCCGTCCTTCAGGCCCAGTCCCAGCCAACCCCAAAGCCTCTGATGTCTGGGGACTCCCAGCAGAGTCCATCACCCGCTCCTTCTGATACCTAAGGGTAGGGAACACGCCCTATCCTAGAGGCCCAGGGCTCCCTCACAGCGATGCCCATCCTAACCCTCAGGGGAGGGGCTCCAGAACCCTGGGAGACACAAGGCTTCATGTTCCTCAGCCCAGTGAGAGCCCACACGAGGAGATCCCCAGCGTGGAGTGTTCCAGATAGCCAGGGCCAGGCGACTGGCCTGCGACCTGCACAGCCACGAAGCCCCTGAGCTTGGTTTCATGCTCTGCTGTTGCTGTCTTGAAATTCTTGAGAATGTCTGAACGTGGGCCCTGCGTTTTCACTTTGCGCTGAGCCCTGCAAATAATGGAGCTGGTCCTGCAGCAGCTGCCACTCCGCTAGCATCTGCGAGTTTCAGAGCTTCTCCAGCCCCGCTAATGGTTAAGGACTGTGTGCCTGCAGAGCACCCCGATTTTATTCACTCATTGTGCACCTACCTCCCTTGCAAGTGAGGGCGGATCTGGGTGAGGGGCTGGGAGGAGGTGTGTCAGATTCAACAACAGAGCTCACAGGAACTCAGGATGCCATCACCACTGCTTCACTTTAGAAACAGGGAAACTAAGGCTCAGAGAAAAGAAAGGGCACGGCGGGGACAGACCCTGGTCCTGGTAGGTCCACATCCACAGCCTGACCCCCGCATCCACTGCCTCTGGCTTTATTCCAGGGAAGGGCCTGCCCCCTCTCTGAGAGGGACTGAGGGTGCCCTTCCCCAGAAGGAAAAGAACCCTGAAGTCCACACTCAGTTCCTAGAGAGACCCTAGGCCGGCCATGGTGTCCCCGCCCTGATCACCATAGCCAGCCCCCACCTCCACCATACAACTCAATGCCAAGCCCTGTGCTGGGCTCACAGGAGGGTCCTCTGCTCTGCACTGAGCTGTCCAACTTGCCTGGAGATGAGGGGCCTGGGCTATGTCTCAAAGCTCTGGCAGTGGGAGGGAGCCGAGGCTAACCAGCCTGGGACCCACAATGGCATTAACCGGACTTTCTGCTGCTCTGGGGAACGGGGGTTGGCACAGAGGAAGTCTCAGCTTCAGGGCTGATGGGCCAGTAGCAAAGTCGTCAGCGTCTTCACCTGTGAACAGCATGAACTGGGAAGTCAATGCTGTCTTTACCAGGCGGCCCTGGCAGAGTGGGCACTTCTCAGATGGACTAAAATAAAACAAAGAGGGTGTGATGCAGGGTGGCCAGGCTCGCTGAGCCTTGGTTTCCTGATCTGAGAAATGGTGCTAACTGGGAGATTGCGGGAGGGTCTCCCCATCTCTTTGCATCTATCCACACAAACTTAGACCAGAAATCAGAACATAGACGCCCGACGCTCAGTCCCTCCTCCCTGAGTGGCCACTGGCACGTTTCCAAGTCCGCAGAGTTTGCAGTTTCTCCACCTGTCAAATGAAGAAGTTGCTCCCTTCCAAAAAGAAGAGTCAATCGATGGCTTTAGAACTCCCAAACATCATGAAATCTGTTCCATTCCAAACAACCTAATAATAAGCCCTGGGAGTTTCTAAAAGGCCATTTTCATAAACTGCTCCACCAAATCCTTCCCCAAATGTAACCAGCATCCACCAGGAATGAGGTCAGCTGTTCCATAATCCAGGGGTCAGGTTCACCATTTACCATCCAAGGGAACTTCACTGGGCCTCCTCTGAGACCCTGGGCCACTTCCCTCCGCTCTTGTGCAGTGGGGCCTGACTCAGCAGCACGGCAATGGCCCCAGGTACAAGCTCCTTACGGAGAGACATGCAATAGATGCACAGCGAGCTTTTCTGAGCCAGCCTGAACCCTGGCCCTGCATGAGTGCCTGGTTCCCCCGAGCTTTGTTTGCTCTTCAGGAGCACTCGCCATCACCTCCTCAAATGCGCCGCTCTTAGGACAAGAAGCGAGAAACATTCTGAGCACCTCCAATTTAGGACACTGAGCCTTCCAAATAGCCAGTGGGAAATGATCGTGAAGCAGCCTTACACGTGGTTGCCTTGGGGGGGCTCAAGAATAATAAAAAAGACAGACTCAGGCCCAATTTAGTCGCCAATCAATACACATAAAGCACCAAATACTACTACTAATAGTAAAAGACTGCAAGAACTTAGTGTTGATGGCAAACTCCAAAATCAACACCCCACTGAAAAAGGGAGAAATTGAGGTCAGCGTCCAAGGCCCCTGAAGGCCCCCAGCGTCATTGAGGTCTCCCTGGCTAAGCCGCACAGCCGTGGGCCTCCTCCTCACAGCGGGGACTGGCTTCCCGGGAGCTCCTGGAAATGCAGACCCCCAGGAAGCCCCACCCCAGGCCTGCACAAGCTTCATTTCATCGCTCACATTTGAGGGGCTGCCTGGCAAGGTGTCCCCAGGAGGGAGGCCTGCACCCCTGCTCACTGTCCATCAGCCTCATCAGGAAGCTGGGGCTCCTCCTGTCACTCAGCAGCCTGATTCCCTCCACTCTCACTGCCGTGGACTCCGCTTCAAACACACCCCCTCGGCCGCGAGCTCCCGCCTTGACTCTGTCACCACCCCTAGGCCTTTGCATATTTGGATTGCTGTGCTCTTCCCCGTCTCTGCACTGTCTCTGTCCTGCTCATTCTCAAGGCCACCGCCTCCTAGAGCCTTCCCTGACCACCCTGTGCACCCCAGGAGGGGAGGAGC